GAAAAAGAATCAGGTGAAGGTGGAGCAAAGGGAGGTGGGACTTGGATTTGCTTGGACCGTGAGAAATTTGGCTTGATCAGCCAAGACAATTGATCAAGTTATGATGTAGCCGACTAGTGCAGACCGGCTTTGAATTGCTGTGATGTGTCCAAATGGGTAGCGGTAGCCATTGTCAGTATATTTTTGTCATGGGGCTGATACTTTGGACTAAAAAAGGTGGCTGTGCTCCTGAAAATAAGTGTGGCCTTCATATTATTCGCTTCACCAAAGACAATCCGCGTGACATATTGATATATCTCAGGAAAAAACTTCTGGCAAACATCACTCTGGAAAAAAGGAAAAAAGATTTGGACAATTTACAAATGGCATAACTATTTCCCAGAATTAGCATAATATCATGTGATGACAACTGCGTTTTAGGGAATTCATTTCTGTGTGAAGAATGATATGCCTCAAAGGAAGAAGCTTCATATTTGCATGACAGAAGAAATTTTCATAAGAAAGTGCTATCAACTGGCATGAGCATAGTTGCTTAAGATCCTAATCATTTGGATCTGTGTTTGGCCCAGTTAGATTCTCATAGGCAAGGACCCTACCAACGAGTCCTTCCATGATTGGGGCACTGTTAAAACTTTGCAGCGAGACTTTGCGACTGAAACTCTGCGGATAACCTTTAACTCTGGAGCAACCTAGCCAAGCAGATGTAACCCCTAGTCTAACAAGGGAGGACCATGATTTGCGCGAGGTTGGCGTGTGAACACTTGCATTTTTCTTGCAAACCAGCTTGAGATGAGGGTGTTCCAACTAGTTCTGTTTTTTTAAGGATCTAAAATCCAGAAATGCCCTACCCGTCACAATAAGAACTAATTGATCAAAACCCTTTTCATGTTACTGTCTTTCTGCAATAAATGTCAATGTGCCCTACGGACCAAAACGAAAAGCTGATGACCCTAGCAATTTAACTTGTAGGCTAGTTATTCTTTTCTTCAACTTAAAAAATAAAAAGAAATAGACTGGCGTGCATGTGTTGTCATAATCTTCTAGATGTTACTTGAGAAGTAGTCAGTAATTGGGTTTGTCAAAGTCATTAGGACAGGTAAGTGTATCTCTTTTAAAAATGATATGGGTAAAGTTAGATCAGAAGAATAATGGAAAAGAAAAGCATGAGATAATCTAAATTATCTTGCCTTACCTGATGAAAGATTGGAAACCACTGCAAGAAAAGAGTGTTTCAAAGTTCTAAGTAGCTTTCGTAAGTACTTTTCAAACTATGTAGATAATCGGCATGCAAGAAAAGCTGTATTCTTTTGACGTAACCAGTTAGTTCTGATATTTTTCTCTTTAGTCTTTTACCTCCCGATGAATCTGGATACCCACTTTATTCACTTATATTTATTATTTATTAATGGTTTGTGCTTGCGTTTCCAATCTTCTAACAGGAACCTTTGAATATATCACCATCTAAACCTGAGCAATGAGGTTCAAGATAAGGTCGATTTCACATTGGCAGATTGGGGCATGGTGGCAAAGTGACTTGAAAACTACAGAGAACAAGTAGTCATGTGGAGTGTTTTAATTGACTAAACTTTAGTTTTCAACCAGGTTCACTCTCGAGAGATCAGGAGCATGGTAACCGAGTAGCCCCATGTTCTTGTGCATGGACACCAGTAACATACTGGGAGTAAGCTTATTTTCGGATCTCTGTCTAGCTATATTTATGACTAGCCCTGTGCCCTTACAGTTCTACAAAATGTCATGTCTAAAAGGTTGCAGTCCCAAACTAAGGATGGGCTTGAAATTGAAAGGAGTTGAACATTATCAGATGCATACTATCAGTTAAGTTGAAGATATCTATGCAGAAACTATTGCTTGCATTATTGTAATCAGCTGACTCTTGTTTTAACAAATATTTTTGTATTTAGTCTTTAGAGTCAAAAGCTGCATTATGGAAGTTGATGATGGGAATTAAAAGAAACATGAATCAAACCAAGAATTTCTCTAACCAATCCTTATTTCATGAACTTTGATTCAACTAACATTACTGTACTTACTAACCACTCCAACTTCACTCAAATCTTATAAATTAATCTATACAATATAGGGTAGGGTACTAAAGAACAAAGAAATAATTATAAGCTTCACATACCCCACTCTCATTCATTTCTCCGACCAAAATTCTATCAAATTAATTATGATACTTTGGAAAAAGAGAGGATGGGGGGGAGATGGGGGATGGTTTTTGACCAGACTATTCCAACATATGTTACAGATAAAATGCAGAGAATAAATGGACATGGCATGAGAAAATTATTCACTAGAACCAAACTTTCATCCTTCTTTTCAAAGTTATGCTTTACCACTCTTTGTCAAGAAATTTTGATCCTTTTCACACAGTTCTTGTTGGCATCTGAACTAGCATCAAATGGGCGTTTTTATCTTTGCCATTCCTCACTGCTAAACCTTCTGCAAAGCTCTCAGTCATCTGCCATTACTGCAGGAAGACGGTGTTCTCTTTCTTTTATGGGTCATAGATGGAATGGGCAGAGATTTGGAGGGGGGTCATGGTGTTTTAATACAATCCAACTCCAATGTAATCATTTATTCCTGTGAGTCAGACAAACCATCTCAATTGATTTGTACAAAACATATCTGATAAATGATATGGATAATTTTTGATATGGATAATAATAGATTTGGAAGTAAAAGACATAATCAAAAGCTCGACCTCAATAATTAACATCCATGTATGCGGTATCAACTGCTTAATTATTAGATGATAAAGGAGACATAAAGGTCAACAAGAGTGGATAATAAAGTGCCAAGAGGCCTACATTATTCTGAAAAGTAGTCGGGCAAAGGCTAAAAAGCTGATAAATATAAGGAATGGGACGAAGAACACAATGTTCAAATGATGTGGAAATCTAAGCATTATCTGTATGGTTGTTAAGACCAGATACATTTTTGTTTTAAGGTTGACATGCCTTTTGTGTAAGACAAAACTACAGTATCATTACTCTCTTTCCTGTCATCCCATTACATTAGATCAAAAGGTTTATAACAGGCCGGTCCTGCAATGAATGAGGATTTTGACTAAAGATGGGGGCGTCACCACTCTCTATATGCCCTTCCACTGTAGAGCATGCAAGTTGGAATTTTCACGAGATTGAAATTTGACTAGTTCTAAAGAGAAATGATGAAAAGAAACAAAGAAAGATAACATAATCCAGCAAAAAGCTTCTTCTTTTTGTTTTTTTTCGTTAATCGTAGATGTCAACAAGTAGACTGCTAGGAACTCACAATGGTGTAGTAATTATCCTGATTGAGTAGGCCGAGTGTGACAAACATGGAACTTGGCATGAAACTTAAAGGGGAAGCAAGTTCTGTCTCACGTAATACTAGTATATAAAATTAACTAGCCTACTCTCTATTGTAAACAGATGATTACCAAGATATCTTTCTGGGCCAGAAATCTGTTTGCTCCAAATGCAGGATCCAGCAAAACAACTTAAAGCAGTGGATGTATACATTTGCAAGGTTTCGGTGCTAAAAGTTCTAAAATAACCTTTTTTCTTTTTTTTTTTTCATTTCCTATGCAAGGTGATGTAGGGGAAGACAAATTCTGATGCTACAGGGAACAGTAACCTGGAAACTGATCAAAGGTTCTGGCTGGCACTGGGCAGTTCGGATAACATCTTGAGGATTGACAAAGCTCACAACCCTAGCAGCTTTCTACTCCAACTTAGCTGGCCCAACAAAAAAGGTGTATTGGACCTCAACCTAAATACTTTTTTTCTTGAACAAAACGAATGAACCTTCACAAGTCCTGAACCATGTTTTATTTATTTACAACATGACAGCGTATGTATTCAAATGTATAGTTCTTTATTCAAACCATGCCAATCCCAGCTTTTTAAACGAAGTCCAGGTGCCCTTAAGGCCGTAACTATGTTCATTTACAAGGGAGAAGAAGAGAGTCCTTACTTCATGAGCTTCTACCCATAATGTTTGCACTAAAATCCCTTCCAAATCTCAGTTATTTGAGAGGGATAGGCCGAAATTACAACACGCTTTTTGGCCTTTACCATCTACTGCTTCTGAATTTGCTATATTTGAATATGGGTATTCTCCTTCCGTTTCCCCTTGCCCTAACATACACTTAAATCTTCAAAAAAGTTGGAATGTCCATCAATGAACTAAATGAGTAAAAACTTTACCCGTGAACCAATGGGACTTTGACAGAGACGGGAACTTCGTCATTTTCATGAACCTCACGACCTCAGCCAAGAAGTTAGAAAGCAGACAAAATTTCATTTATAGCATATATCGGAGAAAGACAAGGATCATCTTATCAAAATATTGTTCATTTCCATCTCTTTCAATCCTCCTCCGTATCGGTTCCCAGGCCCTCCCTGCTCACCTGTTAAAAAACAGGGATGGAAAAATAAATTTACTTTTGAGAATCTTTATTAATGCAACACCTCAATTAATGGATTTGACCTCGTCTGGGGCCCCTACGCAACTATCTCCAGATGCCTATTTGCAAAATCTTATCATCCACGTGCACAAGGTAGAAGTCCTGTAACAAGCTACTGTTACTGGAATATATGGCAAAGGACAATGTGACCGCAGGACATTGTGGTAACCAGCTGCTCCTTTCTCTAGGTCAATGCCCTGGATGGCCAACAATTTGGTGCCCCTACCATCCAGAGCAACCAGCCTTCCCCCTTGGCTAGCCCCCACTCTCCATTACATTATTTATTCTGAACAAATCTCAACAATAATGTAGTCTCTCACATACTTGATAGGGCTACTTCCCGACAAGCATATCTCAAGGGATGGCGTTATCTCAGAAGTTTATGTAACGTCTTGAAACTCAAAACCGTAACAAAACTTCTAACATGATTCAATATGCATGCATTTCCACCGCCGATTAGCTTCTAGGTCCTCTTTCGATCGGTTAAATTTAGCAGAGAGTACGAGATGCATACCGAGAAAAGATGTAACTAAAAATGCTTGCAAATAATGGATAAGCAGAATCAACACACAAGCAGCAACACAGTTAATACAATCATGTCAGGGTTACAGATAATGTCGAGGTCTTCCACCATACAAACACACACGATAAAGATTCAACAAACAATGCACTTTACAAACAAAGATCCTGTGTGTGAACAGGGACTTGTCCAGACTCTAAACTGATTGGATCTTAAAGATACTCACAAACACTAGGCCTTGATGGTTTTATAATTTTAGACTAAAATAGGCTTCCGTGACATAAATTCCCTTGCAAAGAGAAGATAAACATGGCAACATAGGAAAGCAGATACCCATGATCTCCTCTACCCACTCCAACATCCTCTCATCCCTTCAGAAAGAATCTTGAATGATTCTACATCTTCTCCAGAAAGGCTGCTGGATGGATAGCAATAATCATGTGTGATGCTTGCTAGTTCCGGTTCCTGCATTTTTCCACGGCCCTTGGGGCTGCACGCAAAAACAGAAAACTCCATTAATAGACAAGTCAATGAGTTTTAAACAAACTTATAGCTATGGACAATAATTAACATGAACAAGCAGAACCAGAGTATCCTCATAAGCGCTAGACAGAAGAAAGCTTGTCTTGCGACTCATTGTAAGAAGATAGAGCCAGCTTTTGCTTTGTTACGACAAATGGTGGCCCATTTTCAGAATGAAAGAACCTGAGTCAACTTGGTAAAGCAATAATTCCAATATACCTTCTTCTTTTTTTTACCAAAGGAAAAGTATTGGTATCTAGTGATCCTGAAAAGGAGATATGTAAGAGACCCAGAATGCCTTACATTCACATTACTGATGTATGCAAACCACTGTCTTTAAGTAATTAACAAATCAGTATGACATAAGTCCAACAGCTAACTCGATGCATTATTGCAGACAGTGGGAGAGAGGAATTATGATGACATTATATTAATTTTGAGTTTCTTAAATCCTCAAAGTTTGATCACTTCATCATAATTTAGATGTTGTAAAACAGTAAATATTATGTGGTGATCTAGATGTCGAATTAGTAGGTTAAGGCACATAAAAAGGCTTTGTCCACATAAGAATACTCGTTGCAGAATCCTCTATACTATCTACATGGATATTAGGCATTTCGTCAGAACAAGATGTAAATTATTGAAATAGATAAACATACTAGCTGATGCCAAGACACTCAGTTGATGGATTAAAAACAGAAAATATTTACCGAGTCCAATGGCATCAGAGCTTTTCATGATCCTCAGCCTTTTGCAGGTATCAATAAACATCCTGAAACAAGTACGAAATTTGAATTAGGCTGCACTGAGCAGCCATTACTAGAGTAGAAAATTGAGTAATAAATACTAATAAGCTGAACTTCATAATGCACCAACATATTCTGACTCAGATTGAATTGATGCAGACAAACAGTAAGATACTGAACTTTGAAGTTATGTGGATAGAGTGTTGTAGTGCAGGTCAAGGAATAAGAATTATGCCAAAAATTGGAATCTATTGGGAAAATAAGTGCAGGTCAAGGAATATGAATTTTAATTTTCCTATCTATAGATGGCATACATGTTCTGTCTAATACAGTTGTTTTATCTTTCATTTTATGGTTAATGAACAGCTTAATAAAGAAAAAAAACAACAGAAAAATTAGTGGTCAAACCAACAATTACATGCATCAGCATTATTACACAATTTTCTCTTAGTGCTAATGAACAAGGGTTCCTTTCCAATTTTTTCAGGGGCTCCAACAAAATCTGATAGATACTATGTTAGGTATAGTTTGCATGTTGTACTTATTCATATCCCTTACTGATTCAAATATGTTCTTAGCATTTCTTATAAAGCTCAAGTCAACCAGAAAGATTAACAAAAGGTTCTAAATTAATATGGCGGAAACAATTTCTGTTCTATGCCTTGCTTTCCACTCCTATGACAGCATTTTGTACGACCAACCCAGTAAGCACGTTTTCACTTCTTCAGAAGTAGAACAGCCTACATTTTGCTTGCAAGCTGATAATACATTCTTAAATGGTGACTCAAGTGCTAAAATATGGGTAGTAATTATCAAAATGGAAGCAGAAAATGAGATGTTGCAACATATAAAGGAGAGGGGAGGGGGGGGGGGGAGGAGGAGGGGAGGAGGGGTTAGAGCTTACTCCCATGGACTCACCCACAAGCATCCAGTCACCATCTTTATCCTCGTAAGTAAGAACATATCTCTGATCCATGTAGTAGATCCTTCAGCTTGCTTTCACTTAGCAGCTCCCTGCCCAGGGTTCCATGAGATCCATACTGACCTGAAATCATAGCAAGTAGCAGTAACTGGATCCATGCAAACAAATATTACTGTCTTCATAGAAATAACAGCTGCACATAATTTACGTACATATAACATTGACAGCCTAAAATCTTATATTAAATTGAAAGATTAAAATAGCTCACCTATTGTAAAACAGCTAAACATCTTCTCAAGGTCAGAAGAGAGCTCCTGATATTTAGAGTAGTTTTTCAAGTCTACTTTCCTCAAATAAGGAGCACCATCCATGCTGACCTTAACAAACAGAGCACCAGCCCCTGCCTTTCCATCTACTTCATCAGTGTTCTTTGAAGTGGTGGCCAAAGAGTTCTTCCTAAATGATCTAATAGGAGGCCAACCGACAACCTGTGCCCTGCAGAAGGAGGAGGATCAGAGAACTTCTCATGGTGAAGCCCAAATTTATTACAAACCCATGCACACTTACTTGGTAGCAGGTGCACCACTGTTATTGTTAGCAGATGCATTAGGATTGGCCCTGGTCTCATTGGCAGCATGAGGCCTGTCCTGTACCACCTTCTGGTTCATTATCTCTTTGACTTTTGTGGGTTGAGCCCCAAGGTTCTCAAGCACGGAACCTGGTTTCAGCCCCAAGTTCGAAGAAGGCCTGGGTGACAGCATCACATCTACTTTCGAATTAGAAAGAAATTTACCCTGCAACACAGATTAGGTACTTGCATGTTAAGACTTTTTAATACTAGTCTTGCTATTCATTAGTAGCAGTAGTTCCTACCTCTGAGAACCCATCCATTGCATCAGAGAACCCTCTTTTGTTGCCTGAAACAACAGTCTTTTGTGATGCAAAGCAGTGACCATCAGTAGAAGGATGTAAAGGAAAAAGGGGTTTCTCATCGAGTTGAGGAGAGCTTAACAAGCAAAGCTCTGGATTTCTTTTAGGCGACTGAGATCCAGGAAGCCCAAGCCTAAGCTCAGTTGCCTTCAGATTCAAATTACCCTTGCTTTCCTCAGACACAGGGGAGGCGACAGAGCTATCCACGGAAGAACAATCAGACAAGCCCATGTATTGCGCTCCTTCAATTCAGCACTATTCTGGCACACACTGTCCATTGAGCCTGAAGAACCCAGTAAAGTTACATTGCTCTGAACCCCTTCCTCCTCCACGCCAAGTAGCGGAGACATCAGATTTAAAAAAAAAAAAAAGTCACAGCCTGCTAAATTTAAAGATGACCAAATTTATCAGTGTTTGAACAATTAAAGAAGAAAAGCTGCTTATATACAGCAACAGCTGGCTAACCCTATTTAGTAAACTATATTAACATGGCAGAATATATGATTAATTATAAACTATCTCCAGTCTAATAAAACATCAGAAAATTTTTAATAGATCCTTAAGAAATAAGAAAAATTGAGGGATAACATAATCTAAAAGTTAAAACAGCGTGAATCTTAAGGATTAGAAACATCACCTTTGCTTTTTTAATGTTGCAAAATCTTAAAAGTAAAAGGGCAGAAAAATAAACAAATAGGCTTATGAAAGACAGAATCAATCCATAAGAAAGAAACTAAAGCTGAAGAAATTTGAAGCATTCTTACATGTGAAATAAAGATAAATTAAACTATAAAATATCAAACAAATTGTTTTACTGATAATTAGATAGCTGCAATTTTAAGTATTTACTGTTAAGTGTTGACCACTGTAAATGCATGCAAAAAATAGAACAATAAACCGCACACAAGCGCCACAACATGGGGGCAAAAAGCAAAGAGTTTTAGAGAAGAAATGATAGTGGTATTAGTATATAAAAGAAGCAAATAGTTGTAGCATGTTTGGTTGCTGAGAAAAATGGCTAGAAAATTGGAACAAGTGTGAACAGAGTTTAAACCTAAGCTTTTAAAGCTTAACTAAGACCGAGAGTCTCGAGTTGAGCTAGCCTACACCTTTTTTCACTGTACAGAACACTACGTGAAGCGAGATTCCTGCATTTTTGTTTTTTTTTATATTTCTTTTGATTTTCCTCAGTTTTCTCAGGAAACAAACACCAGCTAACGAGAAAGCAAGAGCCAAAATAACAACAAAATTCTTCCCAAAAAAAAAAAAGAAAAAGACCTCTTACAAAGAAGACAGAAGAAGAGAAATGAGGAAAAACACAAAAAAAAAATTACCTGATTGGATTGGTGGATCAGAAGCTGAAGAAGAGGATCAAAATCAAACAAATTAAATTTTGTTTACGGATTTTCTGATATGATTTCTACTCAGAAGCAATAACTAAGACGAGAAAGTATTTCCCTTCTTTTTTCCTGGTTTCGTTTTTTGAGAGAGAGAGAAAGAGAGCTAAGGACCCTCCATTTGTCACAAAGCAACAAAAGCTTATTTGCCGTCCGATGTGAAACTCTATGCATTAAAATATACCACTTTAGTTTTACTTTTGTCTCATAAAAAACACTCTTCCTTTTTTTTTTCCCCTTTTCTTTCTGCCCCTGCTTTTCGCTCTATTTCTTTTTATTCGTTTATTCTGTTTCCTCTTTTTATTTCTTTTTTGAGCATCCGCCGAACAACTCGAGGGAGCGCACATCAGTGGCTATGGATCCTGGATTGGTTGCACCCGAACCGTTGATCTTTTTTTCACTGGTTGATCATGGATAAGGGATTTGACCTTTCATTTTGTTCGCTGTTATTTGACCATGTCGTTTAAATTCCACAAGCTTTCTACCTTAATATTATAAATAATAAGAGTATCACATCAAGTGATTTTATTAATAATTTTCACTATGAACAAAAATATAAAATTGACATAATTCTTTTTTGTACACATAATTTCAAAAAAAACAATAGAGAAAATATATAATACATGGAGGAAAATGCTCTCTCGCTCTGTCATTATGATGTTTCCCATAAGATCATAGGTAGTGGGCAGATTAATCAAGTGACCCACCTTGTCTTTCCCTGCGCATACGTGTCGTTACCTCCTTCGATTTAAAGGCTAAATCACGGCATCTTTCACATGTCCTAAAACGCCCTTTTTCTCTTCCTCTCTGAATCAAACACCCACACACGACACACGTGCAGCAAACCAAAACGTTCAATCTCAAAATGGCACACCCATTAACAGAAAAATTGACATTTCATTTTCACAATTATTCTCGCTGCCTGATAGACAATAAAAATAAAAGAATAAAAAGCCACATGAGTTATTGGTTTTAACGTTGGTACTAATCTTTCGATGTACAATGTTCTTGTAAACGACACGTTGTCGTATCATGTATAAAAATAAAAAAAGAAGCTCAAATTAAGCAATTAATTGACGGAGTGAAATACCTGGTAGTAGTAGTTGTTACTTGTGAGGCAAATGGCCCTGCCCATCGTATCATTGCCTTGTTTCATATGTGAGCGAACCACCTGCAGTTTTTGTGCGAGAGGGAGCCTGACACATGCAAGTGCCCGTACCCGTTTTTCCCTCTCCTTTTTTATGTATGTTTGGTTCGCGTGTGTCTAAAAGCCAACGCTGTGCGAAAGCAATGGCAAACCTGTCTTTGCATATCTGCATATTTCGGTAGACCTTCTAACTATGTACTCTATTGTCTTTTTCTTCGCTTATTGCCAATCATGCATTATTCGCAGTTTATTTAGGCTTCCCCTTGACTTCTTAATAAGTTGTTAAACAAATATAAGTAACATGTAAAAATCAAAATCAATTATGATTGAAAATAAGTAAATAACTATAATGCAACATCATTTTTTTATTACAGTTCTTATTTAGTTCTTTTGTATACGTAGTTATTATTTGCTAAATGTACTTTTAAATTTTAAATTTAATATATAAAAATAAAATAATTATTAAAAGAAAATTTAATGTCATATCGGTGACTTTTTATTAAAATTTAATAGAGAGTTCAATTAATTTTGTAGAATTTAGTTTAGAACTTTACATGTAAACATGTAATATGAAGAAAAAAAAGAATGATCTTTGCATCTCTTTTTATTTTTATAAAACAAAGAACTTTGCTTGTTTGTTAGTACATTGTAACTCACAAAATTATATTTATTAGAGTAATTAAGGAAGTATGTATTAGCATGATTTCTAATTAATGTAAACAAATTAAAGGGTAGAAGAGAAATTTTATTTAAAAATGAAAAAAAGAAAAGAAAAGAAAGCATTAGGGAGGGGGAGAGAGAGAGAGAGAGAGAGAGAGTGTTACTTACGTAGGGAGAGAGCATTAAGTGGGGAGGAAAAGTTTGAAAGGGGACAAAGAAAAACAGAGTGAAGCGATATGATGTGTTGGGGGACAAGAAAGCGGCTTTTAATTTTGGATTGCCGGGTACAGAACGCGACATATAACTTCCATCACTACCTCTCTCGTATTCCACACGCGCCACGGCTAGGTGCTCTTATACACGTACAAATCAGGGGGGGCGGAAGCTGTGGATTGAGAGATGTGGGGCTTCGGGATTCGTGGGTAACAGGGAAGTGTAAAGCACGCACTTTGGTATGATTATGCGGGATGGAGTGGAAGGGGTATAATTTGGAGAAGATATTTTTTACTGGAATATTTTAAGCAAGGAAGGATTTAGTAACCATCATTAACTGCCACTAGCTATTGCACGCTTTGCCCTTAATCCATGCATACATAGGGTATCATAGCATGGTTCCTCGGCATAATCATCATCATCATTCATCATCATCAACACCTATCTCTGATTTGCTCCACGTCATTCACACGCCATCATCATATGATCATGTTGCTGAACCCATATGATTAGGTTTAAACGGACAAAAGCTTTTTCCTTCATTCATAGATTCCGATTGGTTAGTTCTTAATTAATCATTTCCCGTGAGTTCTTTCCTTTGGTTTGATTAAGGAAATTCTTCCTATCAAGTTCGTTTTATTATAATTAACTAAAATACGGTATAACCACCCCATTTGGGTGCAACAGAAAAAGGTGATAATTCAGAAGGGAAAAAATTTCGTAAAAAAAAGAAAGAAAAAGTCAGTTATTTAAAAATGGGTAGTTTTAAATATATTTTATTAATTTTATATTTATTCAAAATGTTAATGTGTAAAAGTAAATATATTTTTGTGATTAGTCTCTCGTCTTTTTAAATATCTTTTTAATTTTTTTCTATAATATTCAATCATTGAAAAAATTCACAAAAATAAGATTATTTTCGCATGTTGGTAAATATAAATTGATTTCATTAATACCATACACAACCAATTACTTAAATTTCATTAGATTATTGAAGTTTATCTTCTTCTATACACTTAAATAAATAATTGGTGAAATGAATAAATTTTTCCAAAAGGTGATATTAATTATATTTTTAATTTTTTTTTCACATGTTCTAGTATTTCATAGTAACACTAAATTCTGTGCCATTAATGATTACGAGAATGGAAGGGAAAAAATAAAACGTAAATTAATTAGTAGTTGCCTTAGTTATTGCTATTATATATTGTTAAAATAAACTCAAAAATACTTGCGAGTGTTGATTTATGTGATTGATACACACTTAAACCTTGCTTGAGTGAATAATTATTTTTCTACAATGGATGATTAAAAATTAAACCACTGTATCTGTAATGGCTAATTATTTCAATTTGTTTTCTTTAATTATTGTCGGAGAGGAAAATTCTTAGCTGGATGCCCTATATCTCAGCAGATATTTCGGGATTTTGTCTTGGAAAGAAAAAAAAAATCACATATTAAAAGTAAACCTCAACCATGAAGATGTTGGATTTTTGGTACTACTTTAATTCAAAGCGTCCAAAGCGTGGTCAACGGGTGGTGCATGAGCCCTATAAGGCCAGGCAAATGTTAAGGTTGTTGGGCCTCTTAAGCAAGCCTCGTGGGTTTTGTTCTTTTAATGATGTAATAAAAATAAATTAAAAATCCATGATATGAGGCCTGTCTGATTCTTAGTATTTTTTTTTTTTTTGGGTTCGTAGTCTTAATTGCAAGCCCGCCCCCATGCCTGAAAGCACACGAGGCAAGGCAGAAATGGGATATTGTTCTGAAAGCTATACTACTCTCTGAAATATTTATTGTTCTTGCTTTGATTTCAATGTAATTCTGAACTATTCAAATTTCAACTCTTTTTTTGAATGATCGAATTATTATGTGGATATTTTTAGGCATTTAATAATGTAAATGCCAGTGGCTGAGCCAGTCTGCAAGTGTTTTCATGGCTGTTTGACAGAGCAAAATTTCAGTAAATTCTTGTGTTTTTTTTTTAACAAGGGATTTGGGCTAGATGGGTCTAGATCTGTATGGCTACATAGGCTAAGTTGGGACATTTATTATTGCATGAATGATTAAAAATTCTCAGGCTGGATCCAAAGTTCATGGGCCTCTTTTAGAATGAATTGTACAAGGATATTATAGAATTAGCAAGGAGTTTTATCATTGGTAAATTCAGCATATTGGTACGAAATGATAGGCTGTTTCATCTTAGGGGAATGACCAAATAATAATATGCATATTCGTTGAATTATATATATCCAGTATTAAGTATTAAGTCACGAGGTTGATGAAAAAGATAATGGGCTTTTTACAAACGATCGATTTAGCTTGCTGGACAAAGTCTAGGCCCAAGTCTTCCAATATATTTTGGTCCTTAAACCTTGAACTTTGTTTAATTGGGGAGTGAAAAGAAGAAAGGAAGGCAACAAAGCAACGTAATTCCATGGTTAAGCTGCAATAGCGAATAGGGGGTTATGAACCCTCACTATTAGATTAAAATTCTTCCATCCTTGTTACCAAGTTAAGCTTTTCTTGAGGGATGTCTTGCAAAATAACAAAGAAATTGTACTCATAATTATTGAATTTTATGTCCTAATTCCTTTTTCTTTCTAAAAGATTACTCGGGCCTTCTCATTATGAAAAATTTTCACTATATGAAGAGGTCCATAGTTATAAATACAATCTTAAAAGTTCTATAATAGCAGGTTTGCTTTGAATAGCAGCAACAGACTAGATCATGTTGTCAAGAAGACAGTTAAAAATTAAAAGTTGACAAAACATCAACAATGGGTGTTACGAATTACTGGTCCATGATTTACTGTGTATCCAGAGCCCATCTTCTAGGCCAACATTTATAGCAGGATACTTGGACCGACCAATCAAAGACATGGAAAAATGGCATGGCATCTATAACAGCTGGATGCATGATCTTATCAGATGATAAAAGCAATACAACTCTTGCTTGTAAGAACCCAAAATATGGAAAGTAGCTGTCTGTACTAACCAATCCCTCGTACCCAAAAAATATTTACATATTTTCTTTGTTTGAAATATTACAGATTTCTTTTTTTTTTCAAAGATATGGACTGCTTTGCTAATATCCATACCAAGGTAATTCTGTCTATTTCTAATCACTAGTATATACAATCGGCATAAAAATTTTCGATAGGAATAGGGGATGCATAGTTCAATGGCAAGTAGCAACATA